AGGGCGGATCCTGCCTTAAGGATCGACTTGTCGATGCTTCGACCCGCGGATGGGTTTCGAAAGGAGAGCTTGGGCCCCAAAGACTTGGTAGTGTCGACCAAATTCATTTCGGCTGTAGGTGGACGGTGGTTGATGTTCTACGTCAGGTTTTCCATCTTGACTGGGTTTTCCCGCCTTCCCTGCTTCCAACAGGTAAACTCCTTTGAGGTCGGGGGTTAACTCATCACTTGTGGCAAGTTTAGCCCATGACTGCCCAACAGCTTTTTCAAGCTTGTCTTTGGTGATGATCTCCTCTAGCTTCTTCAGCGAGTCAATCAGAGCCAGTCCTGTCGGTAGCTGGGCAAGCCGGGGTAGACATTGCTCAACTGTGTATCCTGTCGATGCTTGCACTGACTTGGAGAACACCAGCGCTTGCCCTGCCACAAAAGCCAATTCTCGAATGAGAACATTGCTCGTGATTCCTAGTCCTCCTTTGCGCATGGTGTGTGTGTGGCGGGAAAAAAATTCCAAGAGGGCGTGTGAAACCACCAGAAATATCTCCGAAACCCGAGCTATTTTTAGAATCGGAAAAAAAACGTCGGTGGAAAATCACGAGAGGAATCGATTGCCGCAGTTTATTCTTGAATCGTATGGTTGGATTGTCCCCAAGAAAAAAGCAAAATACCCTCCAAAATCCAAAATCGGTTTATTTGCCCATCACTTCGTTATTTTTGTCAAATTGGAAATCGGAAAAAAAATCGTCGGTGGCAAATCACGAGAGCTGTCCATATCCGGTCTCAGATTTTGTGTCTGCAAAAAACACCGCCCTCCAGAAACTAAGCAAGATTTCTTGAAAATTTGAACATATGGAGCGAAGGACGAAAAAAAAATAAAAACTCTCTTTACGAAGATGCGCCTTGAAACGACGATTTACGCGGTATTTTCAGATTTCGGAACAAATACCCCCACCCCGAGTGTTATGGAAATGTTAGCACATAGCCATTATGAGTCAATGTTCAGTAGCACTGCACTTACTTGTACGTCGTAGATCATCGTAGATCTGTTATGTGCCGGTTGGTATGTAACGTGCGTTGTATATGCGGAGGAATTACTTCTGTAGGATTCTATGTTGCCTTGACGAGTAGCTCACTCTCTCGTGTGGATCCTTCCTGACTGTCTGGCATCGTAGACATCCTGGTCATCTCCAGTACCCAGCCATCTTCTGGACTCCTGCATACTCTGCGGTTTATCTGTGTGTGTTGGCCACATAAGCGCTAGTGTTTACAACATCTTGTCACCTTCTTCATCACACGGAAGCACTCACGTCTTCCAGGGCGTCCACAACACTAATGTCACCAACTTGATCAGCGTCAAGGACACAGCCTCTCTGCCACCTTGCTGGGGTATACCACAATATCCATAATAGGTTATGAGCCTCGTGTGTGTGTGAGTGGAGGTCCGCGACGGCTGCGACTCTTTCCACTGTCGCAGAGGACTGCTGTGAGGCACGCACACCAGGATCTTCAGATTCTACTCTCTCCGCGTGGGAGCTCCAACAGTTGAGTTCAACCTCATCTTCGATCAGATGGATGTTTCTACCGCTTTCCTCTACGCGGACATCCAAGAAGAAGTATTCGTGGAACAACCACCCGGTTTCGAGGTCAAGGACAAGGAGGATGGAGGTGACATGGTAATGAAGCTGAATAAGAGTCTCTACGGACTTGCTCAAAGCCCAGGCAACTGGTTCAACACCATCGATCCCGTGATCGTCGAGATTGGATTCGTCGCACTCAAGTCAGACCCGTGCGTGTATTTGTACGATCACAACGGGGCCAAGATCTACCTGACTCTCTACGTCGATGACCTTCTCCTGGCCGGCAACGACTCTGACGCCATTTCGATGGTGAAAGGGAAGTTGCAAAAGCGCTTCAAAATGACCGACCTGGGGGAAGCATCTCTTGTCCTCGGGATGGAAATTAGGAGGGATCGCGAGGCAAATACCTTGACCATTTCCCAGGAAGCGTACTGCAAATCAATCCTTGAACGGTTTGGGATGTCGGGCTCCAAGCCGACCAGTACACCTGGGTACGGCTCCGAAATCTCAAATATCCAACCAGAAGACACACTTCTCGACGAGAAAGAGACCCGCAAGTACCAAGGGATCGTGGGATCACTCATGTACATTGCGCAAGTGTTGAGATACGACATCATGTACGCGACAGGTCAGCTGGCTCGCCCGATGGCGAAACCCAGCAAGGTTCACATGGTGGCGGCAAAGCACACCCTTCGTTACTTGGCTGGAACGATCGATTTCAGCATCACTTACAAGAAAGGTGGTTTCAAGCTCGCGACTTTCTCGGACTCCAACTGGGCGAACAACCCTGACAACGGGAAGTCCACCTCGAGCTACCTGACGATGCTGGCGAACGCTCCCATGAGCTTCAGGTCAGGGCTGCAAGGTCTGACAGCAATGTCCACCATGGAAGCAGAGCTGGTCGCGTCGGCGCTGGCGATGAAGGAAGCAGTGTTTTGCTCCAACATGATGACGGAGCTTGGATTTGGGAAAGAATTTGCACAACTGCCCGTGTACTGCGATAACACGGCTACTCTACATGCATTGGGGAACCGGTCCTTCAGCTCGAGGACCAAACACATCGCGTTGCGGTTCTTCTTTATTCGAGAACTGGTGACGGAGGGGAAGATCTCCATCCATTACTTCCCGACGGAGGACAACCTCGCCGACATCGGTACCAAGCATTTCAACAAACACAGGTTCGAACACCTAATGGACCTCATCAACAACTTCGACGTCAACGAGTTCACCGCCGTCGAATATAAAGGAAAATGAATGATTTGTTTGTTTGAATTTTCTGTTTCGGATGCAGTTTACATTTTCATTTTAGTTATGTAGGAAACAAGTACTAACACGTAATTGAAACACGGATGAAACGCATTTACTTGCTGCTTGAAATCATCATTAGTTTGGTACAATTCAGAGCGACTTTCATTGAGGAGGAGTGTTATGGAAATGTTAGCACATAGCCATTATGAGTCAATGTTCAGTAGCACTGCACTTACTTGTACGTCGTAGATCATCGTAGATCTGTCATGTGCCGGTTGGTATGTAACGTGCGTTGTATAGTCTATGTGGAGGAATTACTTCTGTAGGATTCTATGTTGCCTTGACGAGTAGCTCACTCTCTCGTGTGGATCCTTCCTGACTGTCTGGCATCGTAGACATCCTGGTCATCTCCAGTACCCAGCCATCTTCTGGACTCCTGCATACTCTGCGGTTTATCTGTGTGTGTTGGCCACATAAGCGCTAGTGTTTACAACATCTTGTCACCTTCTTCATCACACGGAAGCACTCACGTCTTCCAGGGCGTCCACAACACTAGTGTCACCAACTTGATCAGCGTCAAGGACACAGCCTCTCTGCCACCTTGCTGGGGTATACCACAATATCCATAATACCGAGAAAAAAAGTGCACCTTTGTGCAGGGGAAAATTGTGTGAAATTTGTGGGCAAACGGACCATACATGCTACCGTACTGCTGTAAACGAAAACCTAAAATCTTAACGAAGAGTAAAGGGCACATGGTACAGATTTCAATACCACGGACGGTACACTACAGAGTTTCGGAATCGGATTGCTCGCATGTAACGAGAACAATTCCCTACGAAACAGGCTCGCCCGTGCAACTACACTTGTACGACGCCTGGTCTCCCATGCAAATTCCACACACTGATTGATGTTGTGCCCAAAGAGCATGCTGAGTGGCGGCGGGGGGCTCATTTCGTTCAACTGGCGAGACGCGTTCAAACCCGTGTTGTACGCGCTATGTAATGTATCATCGTTTTGCAGACGAAGAAAGTTGTAACCCCACCCATCCCCCACACACAGCTGGCAGTTCGCCAACAAAGAAACACCACTGGGACAATATTTCATGCAAGCACCGTCAACGACACGTCTGTCTGAGAATACCTTGCAATGGTGAACTTTCCATGACATTTTCGACTACATTCAGAGTATGATATACCTATGGTACAGTCTAGCCCAAACCGCACGCGAAATAAAAAAATCTCATCGTCGACGCAACATAGTAGGCATTTGTGAGGTTGACCCATGTGACAGCCTGAGGAGGGTGACTATTAACACCATCCCCCCCCCCTCCGGTGTTTGCCATCGGGGTTGGGTTTTCGTCGCTTGGCAACGACGTTGTAAAACAAGCCGCCCCCCCCGGTGTTTGCCATCGGGGTTGGGTTTTCGTCGCTTGGCAACGACGTTGTAAAACAAGCCGCCCCCCCCGGTGTTTGCCATCGGGGTTGGGTTTTCGTCGCTTGGCAACGACGTTGTAAAACAAGCCGCCCCCCCCGGTGTTTGCCATCGGGATTGGGTTTTCGTCGCTTGGCAACGACGTTGTAAAACAAGCCAATTCACTTCGTGAACTCGGCAACCAGGTTACCGTTTTTTTTTTTTTCCTCCGTTTATTTTTTTTGGGCGGTAACCATAATGATGGTTGAGTAGATCATGTTGTGCGGGGTGAACCCTCACTCCGCGCAAGGGGGATGATCGCACCACGTTGTGTTAAAATGGTCAAGCACCCTCGAGGCAGTTACACAGCGCTTACAACTGTCTCACGAAGTGAAAGCACCAGAAAAAACATTAATTCATACGCAGCTGTCATCCGTACGCAAGGAAGTAAGCACAAGATGCCGAACACCCTTAGCAGGATGCAGCGCAACTTGATGCGACTCGCCGAATATACCTCACGGCTCTTCGCGCCTGGTGATGTGAGAGCCTGGTCCGGTGAGAACCCGGCGTGCTCCGTCCCGGCTTTGTAGGGATGCGAGGTCAACGGTTTAACGACTACGGCATGCAAAACTATGAGTACACCCCCCCCCTGCGAAGCCTCACATACGGTCCCTCACGATTCTTCCACGTCCGCGATACGACAACACCAACACCAGCTTGCAACAGGTGCAGGATAAAACTTGAAATCTATTGCTTAGAACGACACAGCAGTCCCACCCGCAAGCAGACTTGGCCACCCGCAACGGGAGAGAAACAGCAGCCATTCCACCATCTACCGAAGGGCGCACGCTGCAGGGGGGTGGTCAACGAAGAGCGGATCATACACCGAAATTCATCGAATGCCGCCACCGACAGCAACCCCTGACGCTTGCAGGCCTCCCCCGTCCCCTCCCCTTGCCGCTGCTGCTGCTGCGGCGAGGTTCTCCTTGTGCAGCTTCGACTTCTTCTCGTGCTTGCGGAGCATTTCCGACGAGCCAAACGACCTGCGGCAGAGCTGTGGCGCATATGTAGCGATACACCAAACAAGGTGTACAACAAGTTGTCAACGCGCCGCGGGCAAAAGTTAGGCGTAGCAGGACAGGGAGTCCTTCGTACCCCACGAGTAACTTTTGAGAAGCCGATTTTCAAATCATTGCTGACTAGTCTAATGGTTTGATTTCGGCGTCCAAATTGCTGTGAAGCACTGCGGTGGGAAGCGGGGGTGGGGGTTACTTTCTCCACGTGCTGGTTTCCAGCACGGAATCGGCCTTGGAGTAAGGTCGGAGAGGTGGGGTCACACCAAACAAGCCAGAAGGAATTCTGCAAAGAAGGGGTTTCGGAAGTGCATCAACTCAGACCGATGAGTGCAATACATCGTCTAATCTCTTGCGCCCATCAACCTACACGAAAACGATATCAAGGCAGCGCGGCAACGGGGCACCACCTACCTTGCATGAAAGAAAAGCACGCAGCCCCTTGTTCGAAAAAAAACAACTCGCACCGTGGCACCCCCTGTGAGGAGGAAAACAAACCTATCGGCACGATTCAACCGTGCCAAACCCACGGCCAAAAAACTAAGGGATATCCTAGGTTCTGAGGAGGCCGTGGAGCAGAACTCGAAGACGACAAGTTGCAAAAAAGAAACTACCTAGAACAGCGCACGTGAGGCCAAAACATGGAACTTACCAGACACGCCACCACCACCGTCGGATCACTTTCCCCAACCGCGGACCCCCCCCGTCCGCCAGCACCAGAAGGAGGAGCATCCGGAACCACACGCCTTCTGCCCGCCTCCTCCGCTCCTCCCCCGCCACCCGCCGAGTCTGTGACACCGCTTGGTTTTCTCTCGAGCATCCAAGACCCGCCGGAGGTCGCACGAGGGGGGGAAGTCTCCTCGGGGAGCAAGGGGGGCAAGAGCGGAGCGGGTGGGTCGTAGGAGATCGTGGCTTGGGGTGCAGACGGCTGCTGCTGGCGCCTGGGAGCGATGTGCAAGGGCTGGGCGGCAGCTTTGGTGCCGTTGCTCGCGCCCCCTCCTTCTCCTTGTTGCGCCTGCTGTTTGGGAGCATCGTGAGATTAGAAGGGTACCCGGGACACACACACACACACACACACACACACGCAGAGCAGTTCCAAGGCAGCGACGCGAACCATCAACGAATACCGCCGTGCAGTGCTCGGTAGGAAACCTGCCAATCGACTCCCATTCTTCGGGGGGAGGGGGGGGGGGATACGCCAGACACGGGGGTAATTGGGACCACCTTGCAATACTTGTACTCTTAACCTATCAAGTAGAGAGGTGGGCTTCGGAACCAAAACTCTAACCCACAACCCGACCCCACCCCGCACCTCCTACACAAACCAAGCTTAAATTTTCTAGCGAAGGCTACTGGTAGATGGGCAATGATGGTGTCCTTGGCCACACGAGCAATCCCCCGTGTCAGGAAGTGGTCTTGCGGAAACATGGCACCAGTGTTTGGATGGCTTTCACGTTCAGCATGTAGACATGAAGAAAATGCGCACCGCACTGGAAGGTTGCCAACGTGTTCAAAACGCTTCTGCTAGGACTGCCGAACCCGTCATTCTTCAAACAAAATAGCCACTCAAGAACAACTTCGCGCAGCCAGACTCGCGGACAACCAACCCCACCACGGGTACCCAACCCTCGCCATCGAGCCAAGGGGGATCAAACCAAGCCCGAACCAGGACAACAACAGCGTCGCTCAAATCGAAGCGCTGGCAACAGCCAAGTATTCGCAGTTCGACGGGGTTTGCAACCCCACGTCGGGATGCTTCGTGTTATCCCGGGGAGAAGACAGCGAACCTTGGCCAGGGACAGCAGTGAAGAACTATCAGGGTGTCTACATTTCGTTCAATGTTTTTAGCAGCAAGATGGTTTCATGTTATCAGGAAGAACGTGTGCTCCATGTGTTGGACTTGGGGGAAGAGGACAGAGTCGGAAAGAGGGGTGCACGAGTAGAAGGGCTGAACAGGCGGCTGGGATAGATATGCAAAAAAAATCGCTGTACTTGAGTGGCGAATCATCAGCAGCAAGTGCTGGTGCTGGAATTCCAGCATCAGCACCTTGCTGATGACGATTTTCCACTCCAGCAAAACGAGTTTTCTGCCACATCCAAAAACAAACCGTCCTTTCAGCCCTCCTACTCGCACCCCGCTTCTGCCCACTCTGACCACTTGGTGTATTCTAACACGGGCCAACAAAAATATGGTTCGAGGTCTTCCTATACGTGCCACCGGAATTCTCCTTTGGTAAATCCGTCTTGCGCTTGCGTTCGCAGTTCATGACGTGCCAAAAGAAACCCCCCTTGTGAAATAGGTACAAAACACAGCATCCTCACGCCCACAGGCCTGTTTAGTCGAGCGCACCTCCAGCTTCCTCGCGTTCCACTTGGACACGTCCTCAAGCTGCCGCTTCTTCGCCAAGGCTCCCCCGACCCCGACCCCACCGCCAACAGCCCCCCTGCCCGTCCCTGCCGCCACCTGGCCACCGCTTTCGTCTCCCGAGCTGTCGTTGTCAGCGCCGCCGAGGACGCCGC